AGTGAGAGAGATTAACAGTTTGAGAGCTTATATGTGCCTGCATTGCTTCAAAGTAATTATTAAGATCCATCTCCTCTTCTATGTTGAGTAAATATTGAACATTTACACATTGCCATTCATTTGCTATCAATTTTTTTTAAAAAATTGCATTTGTTTAAATGAAAATTACTGAGCTGTGATGATTTCATTGTCAAGAATGTATCTTTGTGCTTACTAAACTGAATACATTTAAAAATATATATGTTTATTTTCATTTCTTGTTACTTTGGCTCAAAGCCTTTATACATGACAATTATATTGCTCAGAAACTTTTCTAAAACCCAACCTCCATTGCACCTTATAATTACTACACCTCATTAATGTTTCAACTCTGAGAAGATTTCTGATAAATTTTCTCATGCCCCCAACATTATTTAATACTACTTTGTACATTTTTTATTTAAATAAGTATGAATTTTTACTTTTTTGTGTAATTCCATGATTGCACTGCGTATTTAGTTCTAAACATAGTGCCTGGAATATCTTGGCAAATATTTGTTTCATAATTAAAATGCAACATATTAAAATAAAAATATAAATTCTAAATACTTAATTTTAACTCATGTAGCATAATAAAAATAATACATGCCTGTAGTCTATAAGATAATATAAATGGAAAACTCCACACATTTTTTACATTATATTATTTTTATTGATTTATTAGATGGTAATGCCCTAACATTTGGTGCTATAATGTGATATGTTTGCCATACAATGCCCTGCATTGCTACAATTCACTTGGTTTGAAACCTGGATTGGTAAAATAAGATAATATCTGATTAGGTGAAAAAGTGGTTATTTCATTATATTTGTATTACATTATTTGAAAGTATAAGAGGGGAATATCTTCTTAAAATAAAATTTGTCTGAAACATAATCTGTTTACAGATTGTGGAGACACATAATTATTAAACCTGAAATTATCCCTGGTGATAATTATGTATGAACATGACATTCTTGAGGTCAATACAAATGGCTGACAGTTGAACCATACTTGACAACTTCTTTAGGCTGAGATGACAACAGTTAAATTAAAATCTATACTTGAAATACCACATGACAAAGCATCATTTATAAGTGAGGTGTCGGGTCTTTTAAGGTGATGCTAGACTTACTGACAACACTGGAAAGAAGAACACTAGCTATGAGTTTGGGAGACACTATTAATGACTGTGGCCCCAGAAAGTAACATTTCTGGTTTCCAATTTCCTATGCCTGATAAGAAAACAAATTGCTAGTTCTTGTTGTGTAGACTGATTGTGGGGCTTAAATTAGCTAATATTTATAAAGTTCTTAGAACCATACTGACTTCTTAGTAAGGACCATATATTGCACTAAGCAATATGTAAAATATGGATCTTTTTCAGAAGCAAAATATTATGGAGGTATTTATAAACTAGGGTGAACAGAATAAAGAAATAATGTATTTATCAGAGATCACCAGGGCTTCTGAACAACTAATTTAGCTTGTCACAGAGAAAATGGCCTGGGAAGTTAATTCTACCTCACTAAGTTAGAATATTTGGCCTGGGAAAATGTCCAAGTATTCTGATGTTATCTGTGTATGTGCCAGAAATATGACCAGCAGAATACTTCAGTATTGAGCATTCTTCAAGACACAAACCCAGGCATATCCTGTTGAAAATGGTCCAAGAATCCTGACTCTCTTTGGAGGTATGCCACAGTGTTCCTTCAACATCTACACGGATTCTGAATTGTGGGTGGGTTTCGCCTTTGAAATGCTTCATGATACAACTGAGAGCAAGTTACTTAAATTAGGGTCCAAAAGGAGAGTTTGAATTTTACATCCCAGTAAAGGAGAATGTGATGCTCACAACTGCAGGGAGAATGGGGACTGAAGACCCCTAATTGGCAAGGAAGAACACCCCCTAGAAAAGGGGAAAAACAGAGAAATAAGCCAAGCAAGGTAGAATAAAAACAATTTAGCCAGCTTACTTTTAAAATAACAGTTGAATTACTTGTCTGGGCAGTTATTGGTTTTACCAAAAGCCTGGCCTGTAAGGGATCCAGCTTGCAAAAACACCCTTGCTAAGCTCTCTGAGCATTAACCAGGGCAACCCCTGCCCAGTTAACAGTCAACAACCTTCCAGAAGCAAATACCCACTGTGGAGATTTGTGTTATGAGCAGGGCAGAGATCAAGGGAATAACTCTAGCTCTGAGATATGGGCAGGAGGCTTGTACCCTAACAAGGGAGGAAAACACCTCTGGGTGGAGATAAGGGGAAAATTCCTCTTTTCCACTGATTCTTCAAAGGACACCTGACGCCACCTCGTCTGCTCCACAGAGAAACTAGAGGGGTCTAACCTCCCCCAAGGGATCTGCATGAGCAACCACAGACAGGAGGCTGCCCCCATACAAGGCTCAGGTTCTGGATTTCTTAAGGCTGCCCAGATCTTAAAGTTAATGATTATAGGTAGAATAGGAGCTAACATACCTTCACAGAGATGCTGCTGACATTTTTACTCCCTTCTCTAGTTTACCCCCTTGGCTAAATAAGAAAATAGCCTTCAACAAAAGCTGAGTGGAACATGCACTCACTGAGGCCCCACACACTAGTGGTGGACCCCTGTATCCACTCTTTAAAACTCTATTCGGTGTCCTGAATCTTTATCTCTCACCTCTTCCCCTTTCATTTTTCCCAGTCAGTCACCACTATTTCCACAGGTGTTGAAGGACCCTGCCTCTGGGGTGTCACCCCAACACCCAACCTGAGAATGTGGGTTATGCAGTGCCCAAGGAGAGGCAAAAGGCAGCCAAAACCAAGTCTTTGTTACATGCAAATGAATCCAACTGGATGAATTGTATATACCCAATCCTTTCAATTATGATTGGTTGAAATAGTGGAGTCCTGATTTGGTTGTTTCCAAATCCAAAGTCACAATCCCTTTCTGATGTTTCTTTAAAAAATAGGGGGAGAATTCCAGCTAAAGTTTCTCTTTTCATGAACAACAGGAACCAGTTTGACTTGATTTCAGAAACGGAGGTCCTCTCACACTGGTAAAATATTTTCCAAGAACACAGACTACATAATCACCCAGATATAGCCAAGTGGCTCTGTTTTAACTCTGAGGACTTCACCTCGTCATGAGAAGTCCATTTCACCTGTCAGTGGGAGACATACTTGAACACCAATTCTCACTTCCTTTGAATTATCTACTAGTGGACATGTGACCAAGCTATGATCAATAAAACATAAGATATAAGCTTCTTGAGGTTTCTGAGAAAGATAGTCCTTCCTGGAGCAAGGGGGATGGGATCAGATTCCTCTGAGAACAAAGCCCTTTGCTCCCTCAGGCCACCTGTACATGTAGCACCCCCACTGTGGACATTGGTGGTGTCCACAGGTGCAGTGTCCACAGGTGCAGTGGACCCACTTAGAACTTCTGGAGCAAGTGTGCTGAGGAAAGCCAGTAGCAGGGCTGTGGAGGCTGATAGAACACAAGGACTCAAAAATCTTAGTCCTTGTTAATACTGCTGAGACATTGACAGGCCACCTCATGACTGTTTCATTAAACCAATAATGTTTAAATGTGCATACCAACCCCAAATTGGCTAGCTTGGAGCCCCATTCCAAACAGGAGCTGAGGTGCTCCACAATGCACACTTCACCTTATCTTACAACTGAAAAGAAATCTGCTGACATGATAGTAATCCATCTCTCAAAAACTACAAAACTGTCATGCACATCATTACATAGAGTCCTCTCTGAATTCTGGACAACTCTTGAACCATAAAGATTTCTCCTGTCAAAGTAAAAATCATGCTGGAGCAAGTTAAATAGGAAAAAGACATTTTATTCAAAGGTATTCAATAATGAGGAGAGGCCAAAACTGAGCCTGAATTAATCTCCATGGAAATAAAGGGCTATGAGAAGCTTTAAGAGCTGGGTGGGGGAATCTCAGTCTATCTGTGCTTATTAACTGGACTTCTCCAAAGGAATAGTTAAGTTTCTCTATCTTGAGGGCAGAAGGTAGTTCTATAGTTTTATGACTTGGAGCAAGGTCTCCAAGAAGTTTGGCTCCTATCTTCCCAAGGAGATGGACCAAGGGAATGCTGTCATCCTACAGGGTAACATTTCAAAGGGAGGACTCCCAGGTCCTTGAACTATAGAGCCCTGGGTTTTAAAAGTTAAAAGAGGATTTTTAAAAATTTTTGTAGAGACAAATTAGGGACTCATTCTGTTGCCTGAGCTAGAGTGCATTGGCATGGTCATAGCTCACTGCAGCCTCAAATTACTAGACTCAAGTCATCCTCCAGCCTTAGTCTCCCAAGGAGCTAGGACTACAGGTGCATGATATCACATGTAGCTATATTTCCCTTTTAATTTTTATAGAGACAGGGTCTCTCTATGCTGTCCAGACTGTTTTGAACACCTAATGTCAAGCAATTCCCCAGCTTTGTCTCCTAAAATGCTATAATTACAGATGTGAGATATGGCGAAAAACGTCTTTTAAAAAGATTTCTATGTAAATGATAGAGAAATTACCACATTTTGCCACTTTAATGCTCACTTTTCACCCAAGTTTATGAGGGGAAAATGAGGATGCACATTATACATGGGTAGTAAAATTCTGTGTTTATATAAGTTTGGGCCCAAATTGTGGGTGTACCTTACATAGAGAAGCACGTTATTCACAACAAAATAGGGCACAACTTTTCTACAGTTAATCCTCTAAGAAAATTGAGAGGTGGAGCTACTGTGGTTATGTCGTCCAGAATTTATAAAGTTATTTGAGAAGGAGTTCAGGAATGCAGAGTGGGGAGAAGAAGATAATCTACGTTATGTTCAAGCCAAAGGGAGCTTAAGAATTTGTGAATCCAACTTTATTACATTTAAAATTTTTTTCTCTCTTTTTTTGTTACGTTTGTTTTTATTGGAGCTAGTATGAAAGCTATTCTTTGTTTAACAATATATTTTTCACTTATAAATTTAAATGAGATCCTTTTATAGCTCCTATTTGATGATTGGGTTTTCATGTAGATGAATGACCAGTCCCTTTCTCAAACCGTCTTATCATTTTGGCATATTACCTGCCTGACATGAAAAAAAAATCACACATTTTTTAGGTGTGCTTGTTTACACAGTGTTCTAAGTGCTAGAAATATAGTAAGAAAAAAAATTCAACACCCTTTAAAAATCTCTTATCTTGAGTGTGAGAGAGAAGTAAAACAAAGAAATATGTCAGGTGAGCTCTCTATGAGGGGAAACAATTTGGGGTAAGGGAAGAGACAGTGCCGGAGTCCTGGAAGGTGTGTCTGGGGCTGTGACACTGGTTCATTGTGATTAAATGCATCCTAACAACATACAGCCTGACAGGGGCAGAGAAAGTTTGCCTTGAGTTAAGAATAATGTTAAGAATTCTCCGTGTACAACTCATTTAGCCTTGATGGCAATGATGTAAAGACATTTTCTCTATTTTAAAATAAGGGAACTGAGTTACAGAGCTGTTCAATAATACACTCAAGTTCATCCAACTAGTAAGTAATGGGGGTTAATAGTGAACTCAAGCTCTCTGACACCAGATCCATGTTTTAATCACTGCACTATAAAATCTCTCCACGAGAAATCTGTGCTTCACATTCGGCTCAGGTGATTTCAGTCCTGATGGAAGTTTGGAAACAATATGTTGTTGTATACAAACCATTGCACGAAGTCATAATTAGGGAAGGGTGAGGGTGTCAAATAACTAGAAAGTGGGCAATGCCCTCTCTCCAGACCTGGGCAAACTTGAAAGGAGGAGATGAATAAACATGGCCTTGTCTAATTCGTTGTGTATAGATACCCACTTATAAACATGGCCTTGTCTAGTTGTGTTGTGTACAGATACACACTTTTCTTATAAATGTGGCCTTGTCTCATAGCACTGCACATACACACTTTTCTTAGGTGTGCGCCAAGCACTTGACTTTGTGAGGGACAAGGGAAAAACTTCCCCTTTGCCCTCTGAAGAGCTTCACTAGCAGACTAACTCACAAAAGATGGACTAGTAAGAGAAAAGAGCCCCAAAGACAGGAGGAGAGCCCCCCTGATTACCACCCACTGGAGCTCAGAAGGTCATGTGCCTTCCTGAGGTCACAGAAAGAGCGTGGGCTTGGATCTTGGGCAAACAGGTCATAATGATGTGAACTAAAATCTTAAAGATCCTCCATCAGCAAGCGCCTGACTGGACCCCTCTTGGCTAAGAGGATCTCTAAAACTGGGTCTCTATCCATGAGAAGAGATCAGAGGTGCTCCTCACGCCCCATTCCCTTCTTAGAGATGTGACTCACTAACAGGCCTAAGGCTATGCCCGACCTACCTGCAGGTCTTCAATGTGCAAACAAACCACTGAGTCTGTCCAGGACTCAACACGCCCTTTGTCGGACACTTTCCTTTTCACCGACTCCTGGTCTTTTAGAAGAGGCCTAACACTTTCAGCCAATTGTCAGCTAAAGAATCTTTAAACCCACCTATTCCCTGTGAGCTTCCACTTCTAGGCATCCTATCTTTGGGGGCAAATCAATGTATGTTTTCCCATATTGATTGATGACCTCACCTGCAATCTTTGTCTTTCTGAAATGTGTCAAACCAAACTGTAACCCCACGACAGAGAATCCACGTGCTCAAGGCTTCTTGAGTGGCGCTCCGGGTCCTGCTCCTTAAATTTGGTTCAGAATAAACCTCCTTGGACTATTTTACCAAGTTCACCTTCTTTTCCGTGGACAGCAGCAAGACAGATTATGGGAGAGAAGAAGGGACCTATCTAGTGAAGGTGGTCTTGCTATGTGCTAACAGACGAAAACTCAGAAAGAATCCATGGTAAATGCCTCTTTCAAATTCGAGGGTGGTGTCAGAATGTTAGTTAATTTTTTGTAAATTCAAGCAAGGGAAGTCCTGTGTAGATTCGCTACAAATGCACCTTCCCCACCCCTGGGCAGAGCCAGTTCTATTTGCTGGCCCTCTACTCTCCCACTTCTATGTGACAGTCATCTCAACGTAACTCAAAAATATATTTTAAGATAAAATAATTTTACTCCCTTCAGTATTCATTATAAATAAGCATTTTTATGTTATGCCCAATAGACTGGCAGCTCATCGGTTGCACAGATTTGATGATTTTCATTGTTTTCTCTTAAAACCTGGCACACTGCTTTATAAGGGTAGGGATGAGTATGTATTTTGATGCATGTGTGAACACTCACCGTGATCTCCTCCTCCTTAGTTTAGCAGTGATGAAAAGGAGCTACAAGGCCTGTATCCAGAACTAGTTTGATAATGTAAGATGTAGTGAATGCTAGGATGGAGAAGTGCCATTCAATATGCCAGAACAGATCAAAAATTAAAATGTTACCAGAAGAAGAGGGTCTGGCCACCTGTCACTATCAGCCAATAGGTAGAGACAGGGATAGGTCCACCAGACTGTATTTGTCAGAAGGCTGTAATTCTGGAGAACAGTGAGAGTAGCCCCTCCAAGACTGCTGTGTTCTTCCATTTTCAAGTTTTATATACTTAAGTTTCATGTGAAGACCATGTTAACTCTTATCTTAAAGAGTAATCTGCAGAACCCATGACTCATAAACAATTAAAAATATTTTAATTTCAAAGTTAATCTCCTAAATCATTCACCTAAACTACTCAAGATGGCATCTTTAGAGTGGGAGCTAAATTTAGGAAACAGTAAGATTAGGAGACAGGATGTCAAGGTCAGGCAGGACCCAAACAGGCCAGACCACCTGTGTCATGGCCGCCCTAGCCTGACAGAGTCCATCTTATTCGCACTATACATGTTTTCAAAAGTACCTTTTATTTTTGCCTTTGTTGCCAAAATATTGAGTGAAAATAAATTCCCAGTACTATAAGGTTACTGGGATCGGAAAAAAAATCTTTTTAGTAGATACTTTCAAAGAATGACTATGCCTCCCTGTCTATGGTGAATTTTAAAAAAAGCTTTTCTCTCCTTGAACTTCCAAAGAGCTGAAACTTTGGTGCTTTTTCTGTCCTCAGGCTTCTCCAACCCTATGTCCACTAGAAACTTGTACAAAGAAGGAAAAACAGAACTCTAATTGTATCAATCTTAAGCACTTTGATATATTACCTCTCAATCACACTTCCTTTTTAAGGTAGAAAAGTCAGAGAAAAATCAAATAGGCGCCTTAAATAAAGCGTTATTAAGAAAAGAACAAAATGAGGGAGAGAGTTACAGTTGACCCAAACCGCTGCAGGGCTTCCCATTTATATTCCAGGGGCTCCTTAAAGAAACCTTTGTTAACAGATGACTGACACAAATTTGCATTTAATTTCCTTAGAGGCACAGAAAACTCCTAAACCATCAGTTACTTTAGAGAGTAGTGATTGATCAATTAATAATTGAATTCACAATGACACCACATAATCTCGGTTCATTGGAATCCTTGATGAACAGTCCAGATATTTTTCCAATGGATTTTTAGATGTTATTGTAAATTATCCACACTAGTGCAGGCACTAAAGCACGCTAGCTAGGATATTTCAGGGAGCAGTTGGCTATGTGGCTGTGACAACTAGAGCAACCAATAATCCTTTTTTGATCAAAAAGAAAGAAAAGAAAAAGAAATTGACATAAGAAGACAATTTCATCTTATCAAGAAATTCTATGAGTTACTGTAATAATGATGTAGAAATTAGCAGGGAATTTTAGACTTGCTGTAGGTAGTGGGTATTGAACTGGGTCATCTTTAACTCAGGTTCACTGTTCATTTATTGAGAAGGAAAGTTTCCAGGGGGGTGGGAGGAAACCCTGCTGAACAAGGAGGTCTGGAGGGCCCATAAGAACATTTACCACTCAAGGTTCTTTCCCAAAAGGGAAAGAAAGTGAGTGTGAGGTAAGCTAGGTAATCAATGGCCAATAGAAAGAGATAACAGTCAATGACCAACAGAAAAGGGAAAACTGCCTGGAGGCCCAGAGCCAGTGTGAGACTGGCAGCCAGTTTTCAGTAGAGAGAAAGTGGGTGTAGGCACCTCTGCACCAACTTGGCACCTCTGTCTCTCTCCTCCCTCTTCTCCTTCAAGACAGGGACCCATTTCCAGCTCTCTCTGCAAGGGCTCTCAACTCTCTCTTCATTGAGCTGAACCTTGTGCAGGTCACTCTCCTTTCTGTTCACGCTGCCTGTGCTGCTCCAGCTTTATTCTCAGTTTCTGCTCACTGTTGCATTTGATTCCCCCATCCCTTGGTTGAACTTTCTAGCTCAGTCCATAATTGAACCAGGTCAACTGGGTTCTGGGAACTGGGACCCCTGGCCACCAACATTTATTTTTCTTGAGTATTATTTAGCCAAAAGGCATGACTGGGGCAAAAAAATCTCACTCAATGGGAGCTTGTTCAGCCAATGCTGAGGGTGCACCTGGGAAAATCATGAACTGCAGACAACACTGTGGCAATTTTTGCAAAGGGGAATTTGGACATTTCAGCATTTAAAGGCAGGCAAAAAGGAAAACATGGGGGGAGAGGTGGTGAGACAGAATGGCTACATTCTTGTGAGACCCAGGAAAATGCTCACTTTTTGTAAGATAATGTGAATGTGAGAGGAGAAACGGGGGGATGTGAAGCATCAATTACGGAGTTGTTCTTGGGTAGGCGGAAGGATGTTTGAATCCAGCCTGTCTTCATTTTGAACCTGTGCAAATAAACTTGTAATTCACACTAGTATGGAATCTGACAGGCTGCTGGGTTGGGAGCCAGGGGCAGCCGGTAGATGTAAAGTTACTTATTTGCAGGTCTTGCTTTATGGGAGGCCAATGAGGAATGTCCTTAATGAAAGGTCTCTGGCCAGTGCTTCCCAGGTGCCTGTAGCTTTTACCTTCTCTTTTACACAAGAAACTGGGGAGGTCGTCCTGAGATTTTTATTTTCTTAGTTCATATTATAAAGGGCAGAGTACCTTGTGAACAGTGATCCTTTTCTCCCCCCTCACTTAGGTTTTTCTCTTGTCTTTTCTGTGAGCTATTCCGACTTACTTCTCTCCCTTTCTTTCTTTTCATTGTCTATTTCATTTTCTATCCCCATTGCCTCACTTCTTTAATGTTA